GAGAAGTGAGGGAACACAGAAGCAAAAAAGAAGCAGTCAACAACAACAAAAAATGTGGGATGGTCAGGGTCCTGGTTCCTCATCAAGGGATACACACACACACACACACACACACATACATATATATAATATCTTTGAGTTCTTCTGCCAGAACTAAGGGCCTCCCAGGTGGCGCTGCCGGTAAAGAACCAGGAACTAAGGCTCCCACCCAGGTGGAGGATGGCAACTTTTGACTGAGGACAAGATTCCTTGAGGAGTGCCCTGTTACCTCGCCAACCAATCAGCGGAAAGTCACACATCCTGCAGCCCTTACTCCAAATTTGCCTATAAAAACTTCCCTGAAAACCACTGGGGAGTTTGGGGGTTTTTGAACATGAGCCAACCATTCTCCTTGCTCAGCCCTGCAATAAATCTTTCTCTGCTCCANCCAATCAGCGGAAAGTCACACATCCTGCAGCCCTTACTCCAAATTTGCCTATAAAAACTTCCCTGAAAACCACTGGGGAGTTTGGGGGTTTTTGAGCATGAGCCAACCATTCTCCTTGCTCAGCCCTGCAATAAATCTTTCTCTGCTCCAAATGAGAACCTGGAGGCAGATGAGGACTAGGCCTGTAAGAAGATCAGAACGGACGCGCGGAAGACTCTCCTACCATAATGACAGGAAGACAAGATGGTATGAGATGAAGGTGGAAAGTCAGGAAACACCCTGATCATGTGGGGACTTTATAGGTCATGGTAAAGAATTTGAGTCTGTTCAGGTTTAAGTTTTGTAAGTGTTGTTTTTTGGTCAAGGCAGTTTTTGTTTATGCTTGTTTATCTGTTTTTGCTGCACTGGATCTCTGTGGCTGCACACGGGCTCTCTCCCGCTGTGGTGAGCAGGGGCTACTCTAGTTGCAGCACAAGGGCTTATTGCAGTGGCCCCTCTTGTGAAGCACAGGCTCTAAGGGCACAGGATTTAGCAGCGGCAACACGCGGGCTCAGCGGTTGCAGCTGTGGGCTCTAGAGCACAGACTCTGTAGTGTGGCACACAGGCTCAGTTGCACAGGCATATGGAATCTTCCCAGACCAGGGATTGAGCCCTTGTCCCCTGAATTGGCAGGTGGACTCATCCACTGTGCCACTAGGGAAGTCTGAGTTTATTTTTTTAAATTACTCTGGCAGCTGTTTGAAGAATATATCACAGTGGGTAACAGGGCAAAAGGCAGAGGCAGGGAGGGCCTTCCTTGGTGGCTCAGTGGTAAAGAAACCACCTGCCAATGCAGGAGCTGTGGGTTCAATCCCTGGGTTGGGAAGATCCCTGGAGAAGGAAGTGGCAACCCACTCCAGTATTCTTGCCTGGGAAATCTCATAGACAGAGGAGGCTGGCGGGCTACAGTCCCTGAGGTTGAACACACTAGACAAGAAGAAGCAGGGAGACATGTTAGAGGGTTATTGTAGTAACACAAAAAAAAAGGTGATTGTGGGTCTCACTAGGGTGGTAGAGATGGAGAATTGATGAATGCAAGATCTGTCTCACACAGGGAGCCCAGCAGATGCTCTGTGATGACCTAGAGGGGTGGGATGTGGAGGGAGGCTCTGGAGGGAGCCTATATATACAGGCTCATTCCTGTTGTTGCAATGCAGAAACCAATACAATATTATAAAGAAATTATCCTCCAATTAAAAAACAAAGAAACAAAAAAATCTGTTTTTCCAGGTATAGTGGATGGATGTGAAGATTAAGAGAAAACAGAAAGATATTAGCTAGGTTTGGGCCGTAGTAAATGGCAACCCACTCCAGTGTTCTTGCCTGGAGAATCCCAGGGACGGCAGAGCCTGGTGGGCTGCCATCTGTGGGGTCGCACAGAGTTGGACACGACTGAAGTAACTTAGCAGCAGCAGCTGTAGTAAATAGATGCATAATAAAATTATTTACCAAGACAGGAAAAACCAAGGAAGAAACAACTTTTGGAGAGAAATTGAGGGATCTATTTTAAACATATGGTGTTTAATATGCCTATCTGACATTTGAGTGATGATGTTAAATGGGAGTTGCCTATATACATGTCAAGTGCACAAAGGAGTGATCAGGAGTGATAGATGTACAATGAAGAGTAGTGAATATGTAGTAGATATTTCAAGCCAAATGACAGGGTGAGATCACTAGAGAGAGTGTTTTATTGGAGAGAACTAAGTCTGGAAGCCCACTAACATTTAGAGACTGGCAGAAAGAGTTGGACACAACTGAAGTGACAGAGCATGCACTCACGCGTAGGTGGAGAAGCAAGCAAACAGATGGAAAAGATGCAGCTAATAAAGCAGGGGAAACTGGAAGATTGTGATAACCTGGAAGACACAGGGGGCACAAATGTCACAAAAAAGAGAGTGGCCAGCTGAGTCAAATCTACCGAAATATTGAGAAAATTAGGATAAAGGATGTGCCCATTTGATCAGACTTATCTTGTGAGAACAGCTCGGTTAGTTGATGTCCCTATGGTTCCATAGCTCCATGTACAGGTCCTATAGAGCACTTACCAAACTTTAACTGTTTCAGTTATTTGTGATTCCCATTAGACTGGAAACTGGAAGAGGGCAGAAGTCATATCTTACTGGATTACATTTGTAGCACAATATCTGACAATGGATAACAAGGTAACATTTCCAGGCACAAGGTATTCAAACCTGGTATCTTTGAAGGGCCACAACCAACCTGCCACAATTTACATCTGTATTTCCCTACTCTGTGCTCAAAATTGTGCCAAACTGACTTATTGCAATCTGTGAACATTCCTTAAACCCCACTGTAAGCTACAACTGGAAAATTATTTTACTTTTAGACAAATTATTTCGCAATAAAGTTTTCATTGTTTTTCAGTGATGAATACAAACTACTGTGCTTAGATTCTAAGATGATTAAGCTATTAAATGATCTGGGATCCATATTATTTGAACAGTGGTTGAAACGATTGGCTATACTGAAAAGAGAAGGCTTAAAGAAAGATATACAGCTTTCTTCACATGTATTAATATAAAGATGTTTCACAGAGAATAGAGATTAGATACATGTTGTGTAGGTTGAATGAGAAACAATTTATTGTAGGCAGTGAGAGGTAAATTTCAATTCAATATTAAAAATTCAGAATGGACAATGGAATGGGCCCCTTCAAAGTGAAGTCTCTTCCAAATTCTGGAACAACTCATTAATATCCAAAGACTCTGAGAGCAGGAATGTGGACAGAAGTAGAGAATATATCCTTAGAGGCAAGGATGAGGATATTTTATAAAAACATAAGGTTTCTTTAATGGCTGATTCTAAATAAATTGAAGTAGTGTTATCGTTCTCAAATCCATTTTTCAAATTGTAGCCAGAGTGATCCTTTAAACGTCAAATCGGATTATATCAGCCTCTTTAATTAAAACCCTTCATTTGCTGAAACGTCCTCTCAGTATTGATTCCTGGCTTCTGTGCTGGTCTCATCTGAAGTTCTCTGCATTCTTATCTTACTTGTTTTTCTCTACCTCAAGGTTGTAGGTCATGCTATTCTCTCTGCTTGCAGAGCTCTCCTCCCTTCTTAACCCAGATTGCACCTTTCCAAAGGTAGCAGCTTCCCAGCAGCTTTCCCTAGTAGGCTAAACCAGTTGGGTCCCCATCATTCGTGCTGTGCTCAGTTGTGTCCAACTCTTTGCAGCCCACCAGGTTCACCTGCCCATGGGATTTTCCAGGCAAGAATACTGGAGTGGGATGCCAGCTCCTACTCCAGGTTATCTTCCCACCCAGGAATCTAACGGGCATCTCTAGCCTCTCCCGCATTGGCAGGCAGTTTCTTTACCACTAGCGCCACCTGGGAAGCCCCTGAGTCCCCATATACATTTGCAAATACTCAGAACTGCTTTATAAAGATGAAACCATTCAATTGAATAATGACCGTTTCTGTTTTTCCTGCTAAACAGTAAGTTCTTAATGACAAGGCATTGTATCTTATTCAGCACAGTGCCTGGCATATGGTGGGCACCTTCAAATATTTGTTGAATCAATGAATCGACCATCTGGTTTGAATGGAAGAGGAGTCTGATGAAAAAGAATATGTTTGCTGACATCAGGTTTCTGGTTGCAAACTCTTAGAAACACTGGTATGGTATCTTGGAAGAACTTATTTCATGAAAGAAAGGGGAGACACAGGAGGAAATCATCAAATCTGACAGGTTTGTCGAGGCGGAGTCAACATGGAAAGTCATGGGGGGGAAAAGCTTCATGAAAGATAGGAAAAAAATGGGAAACCAAGGCATAACGGCCTAAGAAGTATCATTTATTCATTCCTTCCCAAATATTTATAGAATACCAGTAATGTGTCTGACACTTGGAGTCAGAAACTCAAGGGTGGGCGAGTCTCACACAGTTCTTGCCTTTAAGAAATCTACAGCCTAATAAGGAAAGAGAAATACTGAACATAATAATTTCCACGAAGTATAGTAAGTTGGGCTAGAGAAGATACACCGGTGGGGAGAGAGATGAAATGATGGACAAAGATGGGTGGTCAGGGAAACCTTCTGGTTTAAGACGAGACACTGAGATTTAAGCAGGAGTCCAGGTGGTCTGGGGACCTGAAAGAAATTCAATAGTTAGGATTTGGGATCCCACAGAGAAAGACTGCCAAGATACTGAGGGGGGCACCTCGGCAAAATCGTTTTACCCGGACCTCCGGAAGGCAGAGGTCATTAGCCTCGTGAACATCCCCTGGGCAAGAACAAGAACATTGTGCACTTGAACATTCCACCTGAGCTGGGCTCGCCTCAAATTCCTCATTCCTCACTGAACGCAGTCTCCCACCAGCGGCAGAGAGGTGGCGGCCCGCGGACAGCCGAGCTCCGCCGGAGCTGGCCCGCAGGGTCTCGCTCGGGGCCGCGGCCGCGATCCGCAGGCCCCGCCCACGCCCAGGCGCGCTCCGGGGCCGTGTCCCGGGGGCCGCCCCCGCCGCGGCCGTCACGTGACCCAACGTGTGACGTAGGAGGAAGGAGACGCCATTAGAGGGAGGCGGAGAGCGAGCGCTCCTCGCCTCTCCCCCGGTTCCTGACGTGGTGCTCGGGGCCCTTCACTCTCGGACTTTCCTCTCGGCGCTTCCAGGCCTCGCCCGGAGGCGGCAGTGGGGACGGCGCCCGGGGCGGGGGGCGCCGGTGCGGAGGGGCTGCGCGGGCCGCGGCTGTGAAGGTGCCGCGGCGTCTGGGGAACTCGGCGCGGCGCTAGGGCTCGGGCGGCGGGGACGCGACGGGATGGCTGCGGCCGGCGGCGGCGGGGCGGCGGCGGGCCGAGCCTACTCGTTCAAGGTGGTGCTGCTGGGGGAAGGCTGCGTGGGTAAGACGTCGCTGGTGCTGCGCTACTGCGAGAACAAGTTCAACGACAAGCACATCACCACCCTGCAGGTGCGGGCCGCGGGGGGCGGGGGCGGCATCTCAGGGCCCCTGCGCCTCAGGGGACTTTGCCACCGCGGTCCTCTGGGTCGGGGCGCCCAGATCCCAGGCCTGTCCCCTCCGCCTGCGCATTGCCTTTGCGGTCTCACCCTGGGAAGACGCGTCGTTGGGGCAGCCCGGAGACGATACAGGCGCTCGGGAGAGAAGTGGAAGGGCCCTGAAAAGTCCCCAGGGTACCCAGAGTGGCTGCGCATGTGGTGGGGTCACGGTCGTGGGGCTAGTTTTTCCTCTCTGACTCGCTTCCGCTTGGGCCCTAGGTGCCTTCACCCTGCAGTCAGTCAGCCGAGCGTCAGCCCTTTTTCTTTCTTTCGGAATTAGGAACTTAGCTGCGGGTTTGATTTTGCGAACTAGGTGATGTGTAACTTCAGCACTTACTGATGACTAAGTGTTTGTGCAAGTTCCATTTTGTCCTGTCTTCGAACAACGTGCCGATTGGCAAGACTTTTCTCTCCGGAGGGATTTTGAAATGACCGCTTGCTGGTGAGGGTTACGCAGTTCCATTGCAGCCTGCGTGGGTCTGACTTGTGGGTCACTTATATTCACCGATGCGGGTCGACACATATTCACGTGGAAACGTCATACGAATACTGGCCAACAATTGGTCCTCAAGCTAACAGCTTTACTGCTGTTTATTTTCTTTGCTTGTAAATGTAGGGCCAGCTTTCATTTGCAGATACATGATTGTTAGTCAGAAAAGTGTTAAGATGTAATCATTAATTGAGCGTGAAATCAGTTTACACGTGTTAGAAGAAAAATACCCAACGAATCCGCCCTGATCAGTTTCATCAGAGGCAGTCAAGTCTAGTGGACTTTGAGCCTGAGTGCATCTCTATTCGTTTAACTAGCTGTGTGATTTGGGGCAAGTTAATTAACCTATCTGTGCCTGTGTTTCTCCATCTGTTAAAATGGCCATAATAATAGTATATAGTTCATACGATTGTCAGGACAAATATACATAAACGCACCTAGGACCTGGCCTAGTGTAAGTGCTCCATCTTTATTATTACTACCCCAAATTGCGCAGTAGATCTTAATTAGTGATTGTGTAGTGTGTAAGTCCTTGGACACCACTGGATAGAATGCAGTTTCTTAATTGTGGCATTAGATGTTTGATGCTATTTTTAAACTACTGAGTCTAGAATTTACAAAGACGCTCTGATTCTGATTCCATGTTCTATTTTTACTCGTCTGTTTTTACTTCTGTATAAAGCATACGATCTGAAAGAGTGTCGGGAACCTGGGTGGTTTTTTTGTTGTTTTTGTTTTCCTGCATTTTTGTACAAGGTCACTTAACACAATTTTAATAATTATGGTTGAGTGTTGCTAGAGAGATAAAGGAAATTTATAGGTTCAATACCTATGATCAGTTGGAAATTTCAAAATTTATTAAGGTAAGGTAATAATAGTTCTTACTGTGCTGAGTATTTTACTTTTCTTCTGTTCTTATAACAGCCTGTGAGGTGGATGGTTTTATTAGCCTCATTTTACAGATGCCGAAGCAGGCGTGGTTAAGTTGGGTAACTTGTTGGTCATCATATCGCTGCAGGTCTTGGCTCTCAAGCTGAGGTTTGAACGCAGTTTCGGAGCCCCGCCTCTGGGTGTTGGTAAACCGCCCCTTACTGATTTCTGCTGTGCTGCAGATCTTAGAGAGAAGAGAAGTTTTAATTGAGCTCTTAATTTTTTAAAAATGATAGTTTAGCCCTTCAGCCTAAAAACTACACTTATACATTCCAAAAATATCCTCAAAGCTTTTAGCTGGGTTAAGATTTTTAAATGTCTGAGAGGAAACCTCTGCAATCTACGTAGATCTCAAAGCATAGCATATAACTCTTATCACAAACATTATCTGGATTATGTTCTATAATTGAGGATTTTGCTGTCTACCAACATATGGAAACAGCATTATATACAGTCTCCTTCTCTTGGATATCAGATCATTTCATCTTTTCAAACAATTTTTTCAGAGAAATTTGATTTCAGTGAGACCCACTGAAAATCTTTCACTTGTATACCTTTCATTCCAAATGGAGAGGAACTAATGCATCATAAGATGTGAGAGAAAGAATTTCCCCTTTTACTTAGCAGAAAGAACTACCTACTACTTACCTTTGTAAAATACTTTGTGTTTTGGTTGCAAAGTACACTCTCAAGCATTCCTGTTTTAAAGATTAAAAGGAACCTAAGATAGTTTATGGTTTACTATTTCAGTCTTTTGTTTAATATTTCAGTCAAGTGATTGCCTACTTTAGTCTGAACATCTTGGAGGTGAGATGAACTGATACAGAAGGTGGGAAACAATGTATCCTGAGATAGCATGTTTCATTTTTGGACAGATTACTTTCCAGTTCGTTTTTTCCTGTCTAGGGACAAAATCTGTTTCCTTGCTCTCTTGAATTTTAGTCACACATGGCATCCCTTCTGATAGTTGAAGATGGCTATACATCTCCTTGAGTTTTGTCTTCTCTTGGTAAACAGTTCTGGTTCCTTTTACTAGACCGCCTGTAACATTGTTCTAAGTCATATCATTTTTTTGACATCTCTTCTGGATACTTGGTATTTAATCATTGCCCTCTTTTCTTAAAATTTGATAGCTTAAGCTGCAGAAATGACTCTTAGTGTGGTTTGAACTGTGCAAAGTAGTGCAGGCTATCACCTCCCCTGTGAAGAATCCTTTTCTTTTTTTTTTTTCTTTTTTTAATATTTTTTTTTTTAATTAATTTTTTTTTCCATTTATTTTTATTAGTTGGGGGCTAATTACTTTACATCATTACAGTAGTTTTTGTCATACATTGAAATGAATTAGCCATGGATTTACATGTATTCCCCATCCCGGTCCCCCCTCCCACCTCCCTCTCCACCCCTCTGGGTCTTCCCAGTGCACCAGGCCCAAGCACTTGTCTCATGCATCCAACCTGGGCTGGTGATCTGTTTCACCCTAGATAATATACATGTTAACAATGCTGTTCTCTTGAAAGATCCCACCCTCGCCTTCTCCCAGAGTCCACAAGTCTGTTCTATGCATCTGAGTCTCTTTTTCTGTTTTGCATATAGGGTTATCGTTACCATCTTTCTAAATTCCATATATATGTGTTAGTATACTATAATGGTCTTTATCTTTCTGGCTTACTTCACTCTGTATAATGGGCTCCAGTTTCATCCATCTCATTAGAACTGATTCAAATGAATTCTTTTTAATGGCTGAGTAATATTCCATGGTGTATATGTACCACAGCTTCCTCATCCATTCGTCTGCTGATGGGCATCTAGGTTGCTTCCATGTCCTGGCTATTATAAACAGTGCTGCGATGAACATTGGGGTGCACGTGTCTCTTTCAGATCTGGTTTCCTCAGTGTGTATGCCCAGAAGTGGGATTGCTGGGTCATATGGCAGTTCTATTTCCAGCTTTTTAAGAAATCTCCACACTGTTTTCCATAGCGGCTGTACTAGTTTGCTTTCCCACCAACAGTGTAAGAGGAAGAATCCTTTTCTAACTCCGAAGTAGAAAAGATCCTATGAGTTTTTGGGCTGCCACATTGATTAATATTGGGCCTGCTGTCTTAGTTTTGTTTGCTGAAAGGAAGGGAGAGAGGTACAGGGAGAGAGTGAGGAAGGAAGACTACATCCCTCAAATTCATTTCACTTTCATTGTATAGTTGCCTTCCTCCCCAACCCCCAATGTATTTGACCCATTAAAGTTGGCTTTGATAGGTTTGCTCCAGTGCTTAATGCCTGTTGATACGCTTTTGAATTTTGACTCTGTAGCTCAAGAAACACTGATGGAACTTCTGTGGGTCAGGCACTAGATTAGGTCCTGGTCATGCCCGTAAAAATAAGGCATGATCTCTACAGCTGTATTAGGCACCCATTTTAACTTTTCACCTGAAGATTTGGTAAGATTGTCTTCAGTGTTCTCATCAATCATTAATAGACTGAAAGAAAAGGGCGAGCCGGGGCCAAGCAAGGAGCTCTTCACAAGTCTCTCTATAGTCTAGTGACACTGGACCAGAGGTTTGTTTCTCTTTAGATTTGCAGAGTCTAAGGGTGGGGCTTTTTCCAGACCAAACACGGGCCACAGCCTTCTTTCCCTGTGACTGTGCAGAAGTCTTTAATGGAGTGTTATACATATTAATGATAATGGAAACAGAAAAGAAGACTGACTGCTATGGGCTACTGCCTAGTGGACACGAAACCTTTAATGAAAATGGCTGTTCCAGCGTTACAAATCTGACTTTTTTTTTTTGCCCTTGCTACATCAGTCTTGCCCGTAGGGGATATCATGAGATACTTTGTCAAATGCTTGCAGAAGACAAGATGCATTTTTTTTTTTCCTGCAATAGGAGTCCATCTGATGTGGTAAAAAGGGACAGGACTTTGAAGTTAGTTTGAAGTTTTGGCTTCTACCTTTTAGCTATCATGATTTTGGCAGGTTATTCGAATGTTTGTAAGCTAGCTCTTTACCCATGAAATTGGAGGATCTCAATCATAAGATGTTTATGTGGGTTAGAGAACCACACTGCAAACCTCCTGGCACAGTGTTTGATGAATGTCAGCTGTTGGATGAATTGTGTGTGTATGCTTAGTTGTTCAGTCATGTCCGACTCTTTGTGACCCCATGGACTGTGGCCCACAAGGCTCTTCTGCCCATGGAATTTTTCAGGCAAGAATACTGGAGCGGGTTGCCATTTTCCTCCTCCGGGGGATCTTCCCCACCCATGGATTGAACCCTTGTCTTTTGTGTCTCCTTCATTGGGAGGCAGATTCTTTACCACTGGCGCCACCTGGGAATGAATAAATGGTGCTTAATTTCTGTTGGTTTCTTTCAGGATAACCCAGACAAAGAGGTAATGGGATTAATTTGACATGAATTATTTTGTGAACTTATGCAGCCTGAGGAACTGCTCCTTTTTATATTTTTATACATACATATGTATTTGTTTATTATCCATTCTAG